TTCAAGAAAACAGGGAACATGTGTAAAGTAACAGTTATGAAACATTTACCATTTTTAAAATTCCTAATATACAGAGTTTTTCTTTTAAGTAATTGCAAATATCTGTAAAATAGGGATTTTTTTGCTGATTAAAATACTGTAAAAACATTATAATGATGATGTGACCGTTATTACAGTTAATTTGTAAATTAATACTTTTTTTCTGTGAGTTTGCTACTTATTCTCTGTAATTTAACAAAACAGGAAAAATCTGGACGGTAAATTGTTCAAAAACGTACAATTATTAACTGTTCAAAGGAAACAAGATGTTTTAGATTGTATGTATAAGGATGTACACTGTAAAGCCAAACAGGGTTAAGTCAGAATAAAATAAGGACCTAATTCTGTATATTTCCTTCCCTGCTTACAGCACTAACAAGCTGTACAGGACAACACAAGAACAATGCTGCTGCGAGATCAGTTTCCGTGAGAGAGTCAGGAGTGTACACAGTGTACACAGTGTACACAGTGAGCGTCAGACTGTGGCCCTACAGTTAGGTATTTACTGTGCAACTAGTAAATGTGCCAAACATGTCATCCAAAGTCTGTGTTTTTACATATAGTAATTAAGTTTATTTTTTTTACAATGTGTGACTATAAAACATTTTTTTTACTCTATGTAATTGAGCTAAAAATACACATTTTCTACAGTTATTTTCCAATTACCTTCACAGTTTTTATAGTTTTTGAACAATATAGTGTTCCACTGTTTTTAAGATGTTTTTCTGGTATCCTTGCTGCCACATTTTCACCTTTTCTCCATCCCCCCCCCCCCCGGCTGCAACTTATGACTATTTTCATCATCAGTCAGTCTATAACTTATGGTAATTCATAAATACAATCTTTTACAAATTGCAATATCCCAGAGCTTAGGGTTGCATCTTCATATAACTGTTTTTAAGGGATTTAGTTCATAACTATCTTTTATTAACTCACATTTGAGAAATAGTTTGATAAATGATAATCATACGTGCTATCTTACGTCAGAATTCACTTTCTCATCTACTGAGTGCATAACTGCTCATTTCAGCACTAATTGCTTTTATGTTTACTGCACACATAAAAATTTGATGTGATGACAGGAAATACAACTTAATAGAAAATGTAAGACCCCTGAATGATCATCACTTAAAAACCACGCTCATAGTTGTGTTGCGGTTACAAGAAGAGAAAGTGGAGGCTGACAGTGGGAATACTTGGTATATGTTGCGTGTTTCAGTGAGCATGATTTTAACTGGCCTCCATTGCTCTGGCTTATTTATGGGCACCTAATGGGGCTTTTGCCCCAGGCAGTGTGTCTCTGTGGTGAGCAGGCCAGCAGAGAGTTGTGTGGATGGGACGCACCACCGTCTCTTTAGTGTGCAAGCTCATTGTCTGCTGTCACGTGTGTTCGTGTATAGTGTGTGCTTGTGTTTGCTTTTGGCTTAATCAGCAGTGCTGAGTTCAGGAATTCCAGTTCATCAGAGAGAGAAAGAGGGAGAGTCAGCAAGATATGAGCAAGTAGGAGAGAAGATGGAGCTTCAGCAGATAATAGAGTGATTTTACTATAAAACAAGATGAGCAAGTAGTAAAAAGAAGGTCAAGGACAGTAATGGAGTCAGTTTACGGTGGTGGGTCAGTTAGGACGGTCACTTAAAATGAAGGAGTAACACGTAACGTAATCCACATTCAACTATGATGCTTCCACTGACTCTGCTGCATGACGAGCTTAAAGGTGACTTGTCAGATTTATGAGTCAGATCCACTGTACAAAATCAAGAAACACCTTACCTTTAACCACGAGTTTGCCATCTGTGGTGCCAAAGTACTTTCACACATTATTCTCAGATGTTTTGTGCATAAATATCTACATGCAAAATGCAACAGCCGGGATGTTTTCATAAAAGCTCTCCACTCGAGTACAAGGCCCAGCCTGCTGTGGCTCCATTTTGGATCCATTGCATTGTTGTTATGTCATTTATCTTTAAGAAAATTTAATTTATCTGAATAATTTTAACTTTTAGATGTTCTTTTTTGAACGTCTTTGAGATAAATTTCAGCTCTTTAAGCTGGTCTTTAAGGAAATGGAAAATGAGCTATAACCCTGACTGATCGAGGTCAAGGAATTCAATTTAAATTTACATTAACTCAGTTTTAATTATTTGGCACCAATTTGCAACATAAGTCACCTCAAGGCACTTTACATTGGTAAGGTCAAGACTTTGAGAGAAACTCAACAAATGCAAATATTGCTATTGACCCCTTATCTTATGTGTCCATTGATTAAAACAGTAATATCAGTAACATGTAGCACAGGGCGGATGTTAAATGTGACTAATTTATAATGTCAGTTAAATTAATAATTCATGATGCTGTTTTTATTAAGAAAATTGTTCAAAACTTGCATCACTAGCAGTCTGCCACAAGTTACACCCTGTCTTTATGACACCTTTGTAACAACGGACATAAACAAAAGAGCAGGCTTAAGTTCATACCGATCAAATAAGAACTTGGTGTAATGCTGCTCATTGAGATCAGATCGGGACATCCCAAATACATACTTTTACATTTCGCTAGTTGGACAACAAGTTGATTTCAAGCATAACCTAACCTGGTGTAGATAAACGCACAAAACATTTGTTTAGTGCGCAAAACTGTGAAGCCTCGCTAAAGACGGTTCTGCCTCTTTGGGAAACACTCCATAAAAGCTGGAGGCTCCTTCTGCAGCCTGCTGCTTGTAAACCCTGAGGGAACCATTAGCCAAAGGCCGGCTGGCAGAGTCCACGGTCTCGGCCTGCTCCCAGCACAGCGAGCCACAGCACAGACCTTTTTTCTCTTTTCCCGAAAGGTAGTGGAAGGCATTGACTTTGCATCAGTTGGATTGCTGAAAGGTGTTTGTCAAAGGTTTTTCAGTCACAATAGCGGCTCGAGAAGCAGCAGTGTTGTTTTAGCCACTCACTATTTTAGTATGGGCTGAAAAATGTCAATTATGAGTTGATTGATTGGTGTAAAATTTTGTACACAGATTCATGATCCACAGAGGATGAATCATAACGCTGACTCGCTGTAGCTCCACAGTCAAGTTAAAATTGATGGTTTACAGTAAAATATCACAACAAATATTGGATGGATTGTAATGACATTTCTTGCATCTATTTGTTGCATTGCATAATATTTTATTCATAGTTCATGCAACAAGTATATTAATCTAATGGTTGCCTGCAACATTCACTGTACAATTCTAGCCAAGGACCTGTGTCTCACTATCAACCGCCACATCAAGTGGAACAAAAATCACAAAAAACATGAATTAAATGTGAGGGGAAAAAATCCTACAATGTCCACAAAATATTAAGATGCCTGAAAATGGTATTTAAATAGTATATTTAAATTCAGTACTTTGGCTTCTGATCATATTCTAGCAAAAATCCTGCTTATGACCAAATGTTTGCACATGCTAACTTATTAAAGTGAACATTATACCTGTTAAATATCAACATTTCAACGTAGCATTTAGTTCAAAGCACTCCAGAGCCTCAGTGTTGTGTCACAGAGCTCCTAACATGACTTGTTTTTACTGCTGTTGAGCAAATACGCCGCAGACAGGTCGACCCTTCCCTTCCCAGTAGGGAACCCGCGAGTTCCGTGGTATGCACCAATTACAGTGTTTTTCCCTCTTCCCCACGAGCACCCTTGACCCGCGAGCGAAGCTGTAGCCAAGTGGATGACTCAAGGTGACTTGTTTCCGTGCGCCGGCTCAGAGCGGGGCCTCAGCTCTAAACCGCTGCTTTCATGGTGACAAATTGTTGTTTGAAGTCGCCTTTAAAGCTGCGCCACCAGGTGACTTCATTTTCCCGCAGCAGCTCTTCTCTATTACTGATGATTTAATGATGATATTCCACTGGTGACATTACAATGAGCAGGTTATCTGAGCTTACTGGAGAGGTTTTTACGACAAAGTCCCCGTCATGCTTGGAAATTGGAGACTAGAGGCTCCCTCTGCTTCCCTTCCTTGATCTTTACTTTCACCTTTCTGCACGTGTATTCGCTGTTACTCTCATTAGGCGGACATAAATATTGGTGCACTCAGGTTCTCTGTTATGATATCTTTATCGTATGTGTACATGTACAAGATGTAACTGTAAACTCTGCCTTTTATCATACCCTGAATGCAGCGTTGGCCAACTAGTCAAGTAGATTTTAGAGGTTTATTTGACAACGGAGGTTTGTTATTGTGCAGCGGAGAGCAGCAAGCTTCACCCATCATGTGAGCGCTTTTCGTACAAAAACCAGAACAGGGCTCCTGCTCATTTGTTGTATTTTCTTCCTGTCTCTTTAGTCGTTTTTCAGTTTTCTCTGATCTCCTCCCAAAACTACACCCCACCCTCTTCCCTCTGTTTACTTTTTCCTTCAAGAAATCTCTTTAACCAAACTTCTCTCTTTTTTCATTGCGTGGTCTCTATTACCGTGTGAGAGTGTTTCTGGTGCTCATAGTCACCCTCCCTCCATCTTTTTTTCCCCCCTCCGTCCTTATATAAACACAGGCAGCGACTTCAGCCTTGGTGTCTACAATATGTTTTTACAGCTTTACCAAGAAAGGTGTGTTAATGGATATGCAGCCGGATGGGGGGGCTGGTGTTGGTGTGTTAGCGATAAAGAGGGATGTCAAATTGACCCGTGTGTTCTGTTTCAGATGACAAGCCCGTCCAGGAGGAGGACGGGGTGGTATGCCAGCACCCCGAGTGTACTGAACGCCGCCGGGCCTCAAAGGTAAGACCCTTTATCCTGAAGAACAGCCTGATTTCACTAACAAGAATGACAGTCAGCAGGTTTTCCCGCAATATTCTGCAAAAGTCACAAATCATATTTTTATTCCCGGATTTGAAGTGAAGGAACAGTTTGACATTTTCGGTAATGGGCCTATTCACTTTCTGGGCAAGAGCTGGATGAGAAAATCAATGCAGTTCTCATGTCTTTAGATAAAATATGAGGCTACAGCTCACAGCCGGTTGGCTTAGCGTCGCACTAAGGCTGCAGGCAGCTAGCCTGGCTCCGTCTGCTTGTAACGAAATCCACCTGCCAGAAGTGCAAAATGTGAAAGTTGGTTTGCTGAAATCACTGCTCCAGGCCAAGAAATAATCAAACACAAATGCCCTTTAAAACAGTCGTTGTTGTGCCGTAAGGTAGAGCTGCAACTATTAATCATGTAGTTGTCAAATTGTTAAATAATCAGCAATTATTTTAATAGTTGGTTAACTGGATTGAGAATTTTTTTTTTGTTGTTTTTTTTTTTCTTCGATGAAAAAGTTACTTAAAAATATGAAGCTTGTTTAAACTGAGTATCTATCTATCTATCTATCTATCTATCTATCTATCTATCGATCTATCGATCTATCGATCTATCGATACCTGTTTCCAGGTTTTAGGCAAAGCAACCATCTACTGGCTGTAGCCTTGTATTTACCTCAACAGTGGTATCAATCTTCTCAGTTAATACTTTACTAGACTTTCTCTTCAAGAATTACCACAGTACTGAAGGTATTATTATCACTTTTGGTTCTTCAGCTGCTGTTTTACCTGTGATCTATCAAACCAGCTGCACAGACCCAAATACTGACTTATAGGACAGTTGTTGCAGGTTTTAATTTTCATTTCCACTGTAGTTGTTAAACAAGGCAATTATCTTATTTGGCGGATAGTAAAAAGGTGAGGCAGAATGAGGTGAAAGGACATGAGGGAGACAGAGTGAGAAGCTGTGAATATCCGCATTCAGAGACCAAGAACAAAGAGAGACGCTTTAGTTGTTTCAGGGAAAGTGATGGCAAATAGTGGTGTGCAGAATATTACCTTCAAAAGGCAAGCCCTCTAGTGGCCATAGGAATTAGAAGTCTTATGTAGTGACACCAAAGGAGGAATCAGTTTCATGGTATACACTAATAAAATGAACAGGAGGTGTCAGGGTGGATGGACGGGTCAACAAACTTTGACATGGGAGAGTACTGTTGGCATCCTGCTTCTTACTCTCATTCAGATTCTTTTAACCATGACAGTGATGGTTAACTAAGAGCAGGGCTGCACAGTTAATTGAATATCAAACACAATGTTGGTATCTCACATTTAAATGAAAATGATCGACATTGACTTTTGAAATATGTGCTCCACTCAAAGGAAACTCACAGAAAACAGTCCATTTAGATAAAATCATTTGTTATCAGCTTGGGTAATTCTGATATTAAAGTTTTTGGTTTGTGCCGTTTAGCTTTATCTGTGAGGTGTTCTGGAGCATCGGTAGATTGTATTGTCTGTTGGCAAGCAGGTGTTCAGCAAGTGAGACATTTTGATTACAATTTAAGTTAGAAAAACCATATTTAGAGTCTCATTTGAATGCAAAGATTTATACAATTAGCAGGAATGTAGCACAACAACGGAAGTCAGTGCTATTTATTTAAATATCAAAATGCAATAAAAAACATTCTGTCCCAGTAATCAACGCATAATCGTGATGTCAACATAGATCCAAATCATTTGGCTTATCGTTTTGGCATGAACTGTGCAGCCCCGACCCCAAGAGATTTTTACGATGATGAATGTTCCCTGGTAATTTTAGCCACCAGAAAGTTCCCTCAGTTGTACATACATGAGCTCAAACAATAGCTGAGTCGTTTTTGTGTCTAAATCTAGCCACACGTAACCACTTTTTGATTGGTTTTGTAATTGTTTAAAAGGAATAGACAAGTGCTGCCATCTTGCTGGTAGTGATGTCAGATAAGACACTGATAAATGTGTGTGATTCTGAATGGAGTCACAAACTATGGCCATGTCCAGCACCTTCAGCTCATCACAGTGCTTTTTATGATCACTGAAACATAAGCTATAATTGAAAACACTTTATAAGGAAGATTCACAAACTTGTCTTTTTAACTCCTGTCGCTCTCACTCAGCTTTTGAAGCTGGTCGCATGCAGACCGGCACCGTTTGGTTCCTCTTGTGTTGTATTGCAGCGCTGTGAAAGGTGAAGCAGAGTGGCAAAGCTGCTTTTCTTCTTTTAGGTGTTAAAAGGGGCGTGAGTCTTGGGGCTCTGTGTCTGGCCACCAGACTGTGAAATGAATTATTCCTTTGAAGCCACTGGTTTCTGAAAATGGGAGTCTGGCCAGAAGACCAAGGGAAACCGACATAGTGTCTGGTCTGTCAGTCGGCCTGGCTTGTTTTGGTTTGTCTGCTCTGCCCCGACGTCTCCCTCCCGCCACTAGAGCTGAGCATTAGACGGATTTTCCCATTGAATCGAGATGTTGTCTCCTGCTGTCCTCCCTATGGAAACAATGGAAAGGGAAGATGACAGAGAGAAAAGATGTTAAATTCAGACAGCCTGTAGAGAGAGAGAGAGTTGGTTATATATAGTTTTTCTCCATGGCAACTGAGAATAATAAAATGGGGGGAGAGAAGAGAGAGCCAAAGTGCTGAACCTGAACTATTCTTGCTGTCTCTTTCCCTGCTCCCCACATTACTGAGTCTCCCAAATCCACTTTTTTTCCTGAAAGACAAAATCGCTTGAGACTATCTGGCCCCTCTGGCATGACAGAGTCCGTCCTGTTTTTTAGGATTTGTGTGCAGAGTTGTGAATGAGGCTCAAGGCTTTCTCCTTGGTCAGGGTCAGTGTCTGTTATGTAAGGAGATTAGGGAAAGACGTGCATCCCAGTGTGGACTGGGACAGAAGGAGGGGCACAGGTTGACAACAGATGCAGAGTAAAGACAAAGACGATTAGAGAATCACGCAGGAGATGCCTCAGTCTTTATAGCCATCAGGAATGTAGACAGTTATTTTGATTGGCAGGCTTATGACAGTAACAGGTCTCCCATTCTTAACAGGAGTTTAGATTGACTTAAAGCTCTTCAGATGTAATAAACTTTAAAAATCTAGTTAACTAATTCAATATCAGAAAAGACACAGTTGCCTCAAGAGTACAACACACAGTACAATAATCTCTTCGGATAAAACCAAAACAATGAGCTGAAAGAGACTATAAAGCTCCACAGGACTGAGGGGAAGTGTTGTGTTGGAGGGTAAGGACACCCTTTCATGTAAATGTATTTATATATTGCTGTTTGTGCTTTTTTTTTTTGCTCTTGTCACATTTTTGCTTCCTGTGGGCTCATTTTTCAATATAAAGTCCTGCAAAATATCATTTGTGTAGTGTATAAGGTCATCATGTCGTAAAAAAAACAAAAAAGTTTAAAGGGGAAAGAAAGAAAAAAATAAGTAATTTTGTGTCATTTTGGTGATTTAAAATAATCAAAAGGATTACATGTTTTTCAAGGTAACATTGCTTTCACACCTGCTGTAGCTTCAGAGGAAAAATATAGGATATCTGTTACAGGACTGTTAAATATGTAACTTTTTATCTAACTTAAGTTTTTGTTGCTAAGGTCAACAACTCTACACTAAAATGCTTAGTGTGTCTGTAGGACACTGGTGTGATAAATAGTATTTTGTATAGTCTGTTTGTGCTGAATTGTAGATATCACTTCCCACTTTAAGTGTTAAAAATATGTCTCGTTGATTCAGTGTTGCAACACAATGAAACAAACACGAGTGAATACTTTTTATAGGCGCTTTATCTCTGCAAAATATGGAAGATTAGAAAAAAATGTCTTTTCAAAACATCATCAGCAGCGTGTGAATGAATGACCTCACATGGTTGCATTACAACGGGTCAGTCGTCGTACGTCTCCTTCGTGGCTTTACGCCACAGTGGTCCCGTCCGTTCTAGTAAAAACGGGACATCCCGAGATGTCACAATTTCTTATCTTCCTGTTGGTTTTGATTACTTTGAATTGTGAATAAGAGCAGCGTAAATGTGAATCACATCAGCTATTGTTTCCAGACCATGACAACGTATTTGTGTACTTTAGGAGTTTCTGATAGCTCCGTCTGTTGCACAACAGTTCAACATGTGTCATCTGTACCAAGCTTTAAACAGCAGGGGGCAATGTCATGGCAACCCTGACCTCCAGGATCCTCTGAAGCTCAGTCAGTGTGCATTTGCTTGACTAATGAGAGGCACATTTCTTGGAAGAATTTGAACATAAATACATCCCTTGACTTTCACCCACTCCACCCACTAAACAGATTTAGACACATCAAAGAAAGCATTTTCACTTAGAAAGTGAAAAAAATAAAATAAAACACTAACTTTTATATTTCACTTTAAGAGTTTTTGAAAGTACTCCGAGTAGTCTCTTTGATATTGCCGGCAGCTTGGCAACAGGACACAGAACAGACACAAACACAGGCAGACAGACAGACAGAGGGAGAATCTTAACCCGGCTGCATTTTTAAACCGTTTTATTCCCACACAGGCCTGCCTTGAGCCTCGTCCTGCCATATATCAGCTCCCGACAGGACTGCGTCTCTTCTAGTCGCGGCATGACTGGCCGAGGCCTGAATGAGTTCACCTGCACCATAATTTACTGAAATCGCACCAGATGTCACTGTGAACTTGTGCTGCAGTAGCTCAGCTCTGTCACCACGTTGCACAACAGCTTTGCTGAAAGGCTCTTAGATGGGACAACACATGTGTTTCCACAAGTCTTCTCTGGTGTGATTAAAGTCAGAGGGATTTGTAAATCAGCCTGCAGGTGTCCAACTGAGAGATTCTGTTCAGTCCAGAGTTGGTTCCTGGCTGAGGAGGTGGGATTCGCTTCAGATTATTCTTGTTAGCGCTCGCTGCTAGTCTGAGCTTGCTCCTTGGATCGAGGCTCCCACATAGAGG